GGTGGTAGATGCCCCATCCTTGGAAACATTCAAGGCCAGGCTGGATGGGGCTCTGAGCAACCTGATCTAGTTGAAGATGTCCCTGCCAATTGCAGGGGGGTTGGACTAGATGACCTTTAAAGGTTCCTTCCATCCTGAACTTTTCTATGATTCTGTGATTTATCCAGCTCCATCTACATCTCCCTGGCATCTCGGGGTGAAAGGGGCTTCTGAGGTGTGAGGCAGTTTGGGTGCTTTGGAAGCAGCCCAGCGCTGCCGTGGTTGTTTTACTGGGGAAAAGCAGTCAGCTGTAGGTATCGGCTGCCGGCTCTGCGGTGAGGTTTGGGGCTGAAGGACAGAGCAGGGCTGTGGGGTCCCCCCACTGCTGCATCGCTCTGGTGCACCGGGCACAGGGCAGCTCTGCTGGGGGCTCAGCGTGAGAACAGGCATGGCAGTTTCTGCTGATGTGCAGTGAGGGCAAAAGGCATTTCTCTCCAACAGTATGATGTATCAGGAAAGTCTTTCCGACAGTATGATGCATCAGGAAAGTAAAGCACTAATACTTCTTTGTGAACAAGGGGAGCTTTTATTAGTAGGAACTTAGAGAGCACTTGATCTGCCCTACACGCACTTCAGAAGCTGCTTGTTCCCCAGATTATCCCGTGTAGCATTGATGGAAATTTTTGCCTTCTGCTTTAAAATACAGTTATATTTGAGATTGATCTGACTATAAATACACAATAATGCTCATTTCTTTTTTTTCGCCTTTGGAAAGGGCATTAAAAATAATATATTTGGGGATGCAAACCATAACAAATGGTCTAATAATTCCACTTTTTGAAGAGCACTATAATGATTTGTTTATGTTATTGTACATAATTTGCATGTGTGTTGAAAATACGTCTTTTTTTTTTTCTTTTGAAAAATACTTTTGCTAAGTTACTGTTTGTGACGTAGGGACCCAAAGAGGACCAGGAGTCTGAGTCGGAACTAACTGTGACTCAGCTGAAGGCATTGCGTAAGCAGCAGCAAGCAAAATTGGAAAAGAGAATGTTGGGAGAGGACTCTGATGAGGAAGATGAAAAAGAGGAGAAAAATGAGAGGAGTCAGAACAGTGATATGAGCTGCTCATGGGGAATGGGTAAGTGATGATGAATAAATCAGCTCATACACCTTGAAAGGTCTTCAAGCCGGTTTTCAGTGAATACCAGGTTTGAAATTCCAGCTGGATGCCAAGTGTCCCAGTCCAGTGGAAGTTCCTGAGTACATACTAATCCTTTTCCTTTTAAAAAGAAGAGTGCTGTGACAAGGCGAGCTTATATCTAGTGAGACTTTAGCTCTAGCTCTGCTGCTAGAGCATCTTTTAAAAGGGAGAAGGTAATTTGCCTATGCCTGTAAAAGGCTGTGAAACGGAGAGCTTAAGTTAATGCTGTGTGTTTTGTTCCTGTGACAATGTCCACACTTTTGCCCAAGAGGTGAAACTTAATTGCTTGAGACTTATATGCAGTATAGCTGTCTTTAAATTTAAACAGGAAGTCCACATCTTAAAGCTAGATAAATTGTAATTAATGAGCTTTTCAGTACAAAAAATGAGTTGTTTTTTTGAATGGAAATGTATAAGCACATAAACCTTGGAAAGTGCTGAAACTGCAGTGACGTTTGTCTGCAAAACTGTATCTTATGGTGGAATAACTAATAGCAAAAAAGAAGCAGGGTTTGTTTTTTTTTTTATTGGATGCAGAAATAATATTCAAGTTAAGGGAAATAATTTTATGATGATGTAGCTGCTACCTCTTTCAAACTAATGAAAGCTGAAATATACCGGTGTTCTCTTTCTAACATTTCATCATTTTTTTTGCACTTTGTATGTCTTCTTCTAGGGGAGGATGCTGAGGAGGATGAGGTTGAAGAAAACCCTATTGCTATTGATTTTCAGGATGTACAAGATGCCTTCTATATGAAAGATCCTAGGAAGGCCTTACAGGGCTTTTTTGACAGAGAAGGTACTTTTTTTTCTTAATTAAATGTAATTTTTATTATTTAGCGAAGTGTGACGTTTGTGCTCATGTTTTTCTTTGGGAATTAAGGTGTGAGAGCTAAACTTTTCTATTACATTGTGGGTAAGTTTTTTTTTTTGTTTGTTTGGTCAAGTTTTGAGGGGTTGGTGCTGGTTTGGTTTTTGGTTTTTTTTTTGTTTTGTTTTGTTTTATTAAAACTTAGCTCACCATTCTGTATCTGAGACTTAGTTACTAATTCCTAAAATGGAAGTTGCGGAGAGCACCTTGTATTCCTCTGGAGTGACACTCAAACCACACCCATGATTTGAACCTGTGCTGAAAAATCCAAACCCATCAAATTCCAGACTGTTCTGTTTGGAGATGGCTATGATTGTGAGATAGAATTGGAAAGTATAAAAGACAAAAGGCAATAATGAATTGGTCTAAACTTTCAATGGTTGCTAGTGAAACTTACAGATGACTCACTCATTTGCTAAAGTGAAAAATTAATCTTCAAGCTAAACAATATCTGTGAATCGAGATTGCAAACTGTCGTTGCTTCATGTCATTTACTTTAAAACATACAGAGACAAGATTGTTTTTTCTTTGATCTGAAAAAGCCTTGATTGTGAAAAACAAGCAAATGAGCATAGTACCAACTAAAGATCCCATGGCTTAAAAAAAAGCAGGCAGCAAATTCAGTCCTTTGATATGTAACAAGGGCATTTTATCTCTTTTGTTTAACCATGACATTCTTCTCTGCTGTAAAGATTATTCCCGCTTATTTCAATTTTGGTTACTACATCAACTTTCTTTTCCTCTCTAGGAGAAGAGTTAGAATATGAATATGATGATCGTGGGCACAATAGCTGGCTATGCAGGATCAAGTATGTATCTCTCCATTCACTTTTGTACATAGAAGCTAACTTCATTGAATTCACCAACAAAAGCTGAAGGAATTACTTGTCTTGTCATACTTGGCAAGGAGGCCAGCTGGAATTAGACTTAAGCCCTGATTTTGAGACAGAAGTTCAAGGATCAGTGCCTAGTTCAGTGTCTGCGCTCTTTTCTGGTCTGGCAGCATTTGCTTTTCCTTAGAGCTGAAAATCAGGAAAGCAAGAGTCTAGGTTCTTTCAGTTCCCCTTGTTTTAAGAGAGATGTGAAATTGAAATATGAGAGAAAAAACTAGGAAAAAATATCTTTCGATTCCTAATGAGAGAAAAAAAATCATTCATTCTACTGTGTACCCAATTTCAGTTCTTTTATGGTATAAGGCAGTTTTTGATGGATTCCTGCAAGAGGCCACTAATGTCATTCCTTTATAAGACAGGAGAAGGTGAGGTGGAAATTAAGTCAACAGGATAGGTCTCAAATGGATAGGTACAACATTGCAATGATTGTACTACTTAAGAAGCCTTTGCTTCAGCATGGAAAATATTTGTTACTGGTGCTTAAAATTATTTGGGGATTGACGTTTAACCTTTTAACTTCTTGTATTCCCAATGGAATGCATGTAGGAAGAATTATTGTTTGGACTAGTGAAATAAAAATTTACTTGCATCCTTTAGGAAATCCATGCTTGTGTTTTGATTTGTACTGCATGAAATGAAAAGTGAAAATATTTAACCCACAAAAAAAGACTAGAGTGAAATGGAAAGAACAAAGCCAACTTGATAAATAAAATATCTGAATAGCATCCGTGAAAAGCTGTTTGTATCTGAGCTGTTCTCTGGTCCTTCAAACTGAACAGGTTGCCTGTGGATGATGCATCAGGGAAGCAGCTGGTGGCAGAGGTTCTCCATTCAGGAAAGAAGAAGGAAGCAATGATACAGTGTGCACTGGAAGCTTGCAGGCTGCTCGATGCTCGGGGAGTACTGAGGCAGGAAGCAGGTGAATAACTAGTCAAATGCTGTGATCGTTCTAAAAGCCCTAAATTAGGGATTTGAGATTGCTATCTTGAATTTGTTTTATTGCTCAGTGGTATGCAAATCACTTCTTTTCTTGCCTTCTCCCTTACTTTTCCCAGTATCCCGAAAAAGGAAATCAAAGAACTGGGAAGATGAGGATTTTTATGACAGTGATGATGACACCTTCCTTGATCGAACTGGTGCTGTAGAAAAGAAACGACTGAACAGAATGAAAAAAGCTGGTAAAATAGAAGAAAAACCAGAGACTTATGACTCACTGGTAAGAAGAATTATTATGACATGCCAGGCTTATTCTCTCATGCATGTATTATTACTAAGAAGGAAAATAAAAAATATTTCCTGATCTTTCTCTGTTACCTTGAACTCTGATATCATTTCAGACCTTTAGCTCTCAATTGGCCAAGTTAGAATAAAAGTGTTTTTTTGATTTGTGGACAAGATCCACAAATACCTGAAAATACTGCTTACTTTAGTGGAAGCATACTATCTTGCTTCTGCCTGTGTAGTATGGCCTTCTACTTGGTAGATCACAGTGGTGGGTGAATGACGTACCAGAACAGGGTACTTCTAAAATAGTTTTAAAGCATCAGAAAATAACTGCAAGCTTTCAAGTGCACAGGGCACATCCCAAAGAAGGATCCCATTCTGCTTCAAAGAATAAGCAGCCTGAACTGACAGGCATATGACAACTAAAAGTCCTACAGAGACAACAGGGTGTGGGGGAGCAGGGATAGGGAGGGTTGGAGGATCACAGTGGTGGTATAACATTGCTGCAGAAGCATTATACGTATTTTTGTGTTTCAGAAAGAAAATTATTTGAACAGTATGTGAAAGGACTGATAAGTTGTTTAGGAACAATCTAGACTATAATTTTTTCAGGCCAGAAACTTCTGGTCAAAGATCAGAAGTAGAAAAATTGAGGTAATTTGGTAGGATATTTGAGTACGTCCTAAAAGAGGATTTTAAGAAGATAAAAAGATCTTCTAAGCATGTTGTTTTTTCATAGGTCACAAAGCTAAATGAAGCTGAAAATGAGCTTTCTGAGATAACGGAGAAGCTGAAGGCTTCGGGGAAAGGTAAGGCATGAAGTTTATTTGATCGTAGGGCTTTCCATAAAGAACAATAAAGGGATGAAAACGTATCTTACGGATTTCTGTCTTAAGTGCGTGGTTTTTTTTAGTGTCCACTTTTCACAAAGGAGTAGGAAGATTTGCAGGTCACTGAGTTAGTTGGCGAGGATACTTACACTCTTCATCCTATAGTTTATGTACTGTGTGTATATAGTCACTTGCTCATGAATGCAGCTTTTTTCACAGCAAGCAACATCTAAGTTAAGGTAAGGAGGTGAGTGTATAAGCTCCTGGTGCTTCAGAGAGTGAGCATTATTACTGTTTATCTGCCCATATTAGTGAAACTGACCCAATTTGAGGAACACTTTTTTCCACTCCCTCCAAAACCATTTCTAAGGGAAGAGCAGACAACTGACAGAAAAGACAGTATCTTTTATTTCACTTCTCTGATTGTAAATGCACCTTAAAAAGGAAAGGTGGGAAGAGAGAAATGTGGAGTCAAAGCAGTTGACGCTTAGCTCGTGTAGTCAGTGAACTTGCTAGCTTATGAGGGTGCCATTCAAGTTCTAGGATTATGCCTTTGTGTACGAAGGCAGAGTGGTGATTTCCAAAGTGGTGATTGTATCTCGTAGTGAGTTAGATTTAAAAGCATACTATACAAATAGCTGCGTTTTGCTTTCTGTTACTGATGATGTCTTGTGGAATAGAAGGAAGGCATGAAGGAAATGTGTTTAGGCTGATTCTTCATACAGAAGCCTTTTTAACAGAGTTGGCATTAATAAAGGTTGCAACATCAGTTTTTCAGAAGAGTTTCTCTCCAAGAAGCCTAGCGGCAGTCTGACAGCTGGGCTATCTTTTGTGCATTATATGGGTATGTTTCTTTCTAGTAATTCAACTCCACACCAAAACTCATTTGTATCAACATTTTTGTTGGTGATTGATTATACCAGATCACTGTTCAGAAAACAGTACTGTGCCACTGAGCATTCTAACTGATGGGTTGGTTCAGCGTGTTTGAAGGAATTGTTTTCAGCGTGACTGTTCTGATAAGTAGTTAACGATTGACTAGCAAGAGAAGCTAATGCTTTATCTTGTCTGAGACATGTAATTCCAAGCTTTCATATGTTATGATGCCTTTGTTTCTGCTGATACTGTTTCTCAACAAGACTGTTAAATCATATTGTAGTAGACGCTGGGAGAAGGAAGAATCAGTTCATTTATAGACTTCTGCTAACACCATATAATTCTGATATATGTCATCATGGTTTGGTAAATTGTAACTGGTTACACAGCTAGTTTAGAGCCTTGGAAAAATTGCAGTCTCAGCACTTACTGCACTACAGAGTAATTCAGTATTGGATGGGAATTTCTTAGAACTAGGCCAAGATAAAACATAGCAAATATTGCATCATCAGTTACTTTGTGTGTGTGTGTGTTCTAGATACTTGTGTTTTCTCTTATTTCTTTGGATGCTTCAGGTTCATCAAAGATGTTGAGTACAAGTGTAATCCAGGAACATGCATATTGATCATGGGTGATTCTTATCACTGTCGTGAGCTGTCTGGCAAAGCTGCCGCATCACATACAATTCTGAAACCTTAATGCACTTTTGCTTGCTCTAAATCATTATCTTTAGCCTAAGGGCAAGAGTGTAGAGAGACCAATGAGTGAATGACAGGCTAAATTGCAACACCTCTTAACAAGCACTCAGAGAAATTAAGTGGTTGTCTAAAAAAATCACAGTAGAAGTTCACAAATTGTTCTCCTTCAGAACTAATTACTAATGGACTGACTTGGTATCTCACATTCACTGATGCAGCTGAATGAAAATCAAATACATAGAACTCTTCAGTCTCATCTTTGGTTGCCTGTTCATAAGAAAATTATCAATAAGTTGATGGTGCAGTAAATAGCCCTATAGCTTTTTTTCACTGGGATATAGAGTATAATAGCCATGATTGATTTACCTCCTGGCAATATCAAATTTTACTTCAATAGTGTAGAAAACTGCTGCAACAGATACCGAATGCTAACAGTAACCCTGTAAGCTGAACTACCTGATCTTAGGCACTGTTGGTGGAATCAAGCAGAGAATCCTATTTGCAAGAACAGGTGATCTGACTTGCTGAAGATCACTCACTGACTGAAGCACTTACACTGTTCCACAGCTAAAGACGTGAGCTGTGGAACTAAACCTTAAATTGTTCTGAATTATCTGACTAGACACTAAACTGTATCTTTAAAATTTGATGTTTAAATTAAATGATGACTCTGCTCAGCTCCTGTCTGCTAGGAGTTTCAGACTGTTTGCTAACAGTACCTTTTTGTTGATATTTGTTGTCTTGGTTTATATAAATAGTTAGGAGGAAAAAGAAGAGTATTTCTATCTGAATTTCTTTTATGACATGTTTTGTCATCATTTATATTTGTGTGGAGGTGGATGCTACAACTGTTTCTTATCTTTTGAAGCTTCTTAATTCTGTATATCTTTGAACAGTTACTGTTGTGGCTTTCATATATTTGCAAATTGTAAACTGTGTTTTGTTCTAGATCAGAAATTATCCTTTTCAAAAATTGAGTCCATTTGTAAACATGAGTCTTATTAGACTCGTCTCTAAATATTTAAGTAATGTAAAACTGCTTGAATATGTACTCTTAACAATAGCGTATTATTTTATTTGTACACATTTTAAATTTCAAGTGCTATTTAATTAGCTCGAGCTGAACTGAAAATAACTCATTGGTCACATAATTATGCTTCTGCATGTATACATAAATGCTTATAATGCAACAAATAAATATTGAATTTTCCACTTTTCATATAATATTAAAAGGCAGAAGACTGCCTGTCAAAAGGCTTGTTAAAATTCTAGCAACAACATTCTTCTTTGTTTGCCTCCAAATTGTTTTTGAACACTATATAAAAACTTCTGAAGCATTGTGCAAGCCTAAGAAAGGAGTTTTCCTGGGTTTTTTTTGTTTGGTTATTTGAAATCCATGTGTTAGAATTCTGTATTTATTTATTTTTCTTAGTCATTAAAGCTTTAGTTTTTCCTCCCGAGTTTTATTTTAATTAGCCAAATATGCATAGAATTGCTAATATTTGAAATCAGGTGGAGTAGAAAGACTGCTGTTACTCTTTTTCAAGTACAGAGCAGTGTTTTCTTATTAGAAAATCCAGTCAAAACAAAGGTAAATTTTGTGTGATTGGCCTAACATGAAACTATTCTTGTATGCACTCAGGCATCCAGGGGTAGGAGGCAGCATCATGTGTTGATTCATTTCAAGCTTTGCAAATGTTATTACATAAACATTCCAGGAAAGCCAAAGTGGGATCCCGCATGCAGTGGTGTGAGATTCTTTGTAGTTGTGTTTATTTTAGTCTGTGACTACAGAAAGAACCTGTAAGCCACTTTTTTAGGGACAGCAGATCTCAAAGTGAGATGAACAAACTCGAATAGGGACACTTACTCATAAAGAAACATTCAATTTTAAGAGAGGCTTTGTTATGTAAGTGGATTAAAATTTACTGTCAGGTTTTTGTTAGGAGAAATGCTTTCATCTTTCCAGGGCTAACACTCCATTATTTCACCATTCAACCGAAGCTCGCAGAGAGGATAGTTGTTCCTACCTATCTTATTCTCTAAAGGTAGGACTTGATGACTACAGCTCTCATCTCCCCACCAGTAACAATATGTATCTTCCCTTTTATCTTGCATAGTCCAGTCCCAGCCAGCAGCTCAAGATTCCTTGGATGAATTCATGACCGAAATAAAATCAGGATGCACCTTAGACAGTGTGGCACGAAAGAAGCTTCACTTGCGGTCGTTTGAACTGAAGAAAGAGCAGCAGAGACTGAAAGGGTTAATAAAGCTTGTCAAGCCTGCAGAACTGCCTGAGCTGAAGCCCCAGTAAGTCTTGGCTAAAGTGTAAAACAATTACTTTTACTGTTGTGTTACCCATGGGCAGCTGTGCAAGCCAAGTAAACAGACAGCTTTCCAAACACAAAAGCAGGACCAAGGGCCTTCCAAACTACCTGGCTCATCTCTTTAAAGAGCCGCTGTGCTTTTTGGCTGTTGCAGCATCTATGGTTGAGGCAGATGCACCACAACACTGGAGCAAGATAAGCCCACACTGGGAGGATGAGAGGGGGAAGGGATTGGAAGCACGGTGTCAGCTTTTTAATTTTTTTTCCCAACCTGCATCCAAAAGGAACCAAAGAATTTTGCAGATATTATGTACAACACGAAAACCGCTTTCACTCTGTGAAATGTACATGGAAGTCAAGTGTAGTGGCTGTTCAACTCTGCCTAGCAGTGCTACTGCCATTCAAGAGGGCATATGCTGGGTTTATCATTTGCTACTGGCAGCTTGATTAGAGGTTTAATTACTTAATTAATTTACTTAAATTGAGGTTTGTCCTCCAAGTGTGTTTTTATATATGCATTTATATTATATACATATGTATGAATGTGTGTGCAATTGAATTTGAGGGAGTCCGTGTGATACAGATTTTTTTTCTTATGTCTTTATTTTTTGCTTCCTGTTATGGCAAGTGTGTGAATCCTACAATGTGTATGTAGGATGGAGGAGTCATCTCCTGCAGCTTCCTCCTTGGATGCTGCAAGTGAGAGAGAAATAAAAGGATTTTTATATATCTACTTCTAATTTGCAGATTTTCTTGCATTTGTAAATATAAGGCTTGTTTGATACTTCTTACACTGTTTTTCTTTCTATCTAACTTTTATCAGGAGTGGGAGTTACAGTCTGGAAGCAGAGAGCAAGCCTAAAAAGATTACCCTGCCTCTCTTTGGTGCAATGAAAGGGGGGAGCAAATTCAAGCTGAAAACTGGAAGCCTAGGGGTAAGTGCTGCGAGTCAGAGGCTATTTCCCAGACACCTTCTCAGGCTACGGAGACTGTAGGTGGCAACCACATCTTCTTACATGCATGGAAAAAGCATGGAGGTGCAAGCCTGCGGCGGTGGAAGGTGCACGGGGCAGCAGGCAGTGGCTGTTGGATGTTGTTTGCTGCCAGCAGTTGCCATTCTGTGCCCTGGTACAGCCAGTCTCCTGCAGCACAGCTGTGGTCAAAAGGCAACTTGTGGATCAAGTAGAGGCAGTCTGGGGACATCAGGCTGCACCACTGCTGTACCTCAGCAGCTGGTCCTTTACTTTCGTTTTTCTTGATCTTATAGCTAAGATCATATCCAAGACTGATGCAGTTTCCGGTGTCCCTCTTATGAAAAGACTGCACTCCTTGTCTATGGACTTAGACATATTTTTTCATCTTCTATCTCTACTAATAACTTTTCCTTAAAACCTAACTATTCTTCATCCTGAGAGTGTTTCCTTACCAGCTGTCTCTTTGACAGTAATATGTGTGCTTTCTTCTGTAGTGAATATCTGTGACATCTACCTCCATTTGTCTTAGCGCTGATGCACAAGTCTTTCTCTTGCAGAAGTTGCCTGTTAAGCGTCCAGACGTCCCTGAAAGCTTGTTAAAAATGAAAGATGATGGACCGGAGGAGGAGGAAGAGGAGGAAGAGGAAGAAATAGAGGAGGAGCAAGAAGCAGATGCAATAAACAGCAAAGCATCAAACCTGGAAATGAAAATGACAACAGAGGAAGAAACAGGAAAAGAAACTAATGCTCCCAATGGTTCTCCTTGCAATAACAAGAATCTAGAATCCCTTCAGGATGGTAAACCATTGTCTTTGATTTTTCCAGTAATGAAGCTGAGTCTGTTACTGCTGTATTTTTCAGATCTATGTGAATCTCCTAAGGTTTGAGTCATAGGTTCTCCAGCAGATATCTTTTCCATATTTTTTTGCCATGAGTCCAGAGTCTGTGTACCAGCAGCTGAGTTTCACGTAGTTCTGGTTGAAACTCTGCTTGGCAGTTGGTTTTTCATGCTTTTGGTGAAACAGAAGAAATCTCCTGGACTCAAGAAAGGTCCTATTTTGATAAGCCCTGCTTTCATTAGATTGAATGTCCATATGAAAACAACTACAATGTGTTGTTGGCAAGGGAGAGTGACTTAATAAGAAAAGAAATGTCTGTGTAAAGCTTCAGATCCATTTGTAAGGAGGAAAAATAACTTCAAAAGTGGTAATGGAGAGGCATCTTCTTTCTATCTGTGTAGTTAATCTCCAATCCTTTTTTATATCTGCTTGATGCATTGGAAAACTCGGTAATGATGTTTCTCAGTCAATGATGTGTTTGCTGACAGAAACCAAATTCTAACTTTTTGTCTTAATGCTGGCCAGGTTGCTCTTGAAAAGTATGTTTTAACTGGTCACAAGTTTTTCTTTAATATTGTATTGCAATGGACTTGGATGAAATAATTTGGAGGACTTTTGAGAGAAGAGTTCTTCCTGAGACAAATGTAGTTAAGAGTTCCCTTTTGTACTTTGTCTCAGGAATGCTAGCACTCTACTCATCAGAGTTACTGCAGAGTGGTCACCTAGCTCTTTCTTTTTTCTTTTACAGGGGTTCATTTTCTGCCTGAGCCAAAGATACTAAGGAATAAGTCTCAGATGGGACCCACACAAGAGAAATCTCAAGGTGAGCAGTACAATTTAGACTATTGTACAGTAGCATGCGGGTTTAGAAACTGTCTAAAGGACTTATTGTCTTCTGTCAGTAGAAGGAAACTAAGCCTAACCTAGAGCTTAAAGAATCTAGAATTGAAATGAAGGATTGTGTTTTCTTGGGAAATGGTAAGTGTATGGTGAAAACTGGTCACTTCAACTATGTTTCAGTTCTCCTTGCTCTTCATAGTCATTAACTGCTTTGAGATCCTGTGTTTTAAAAAAAATAGCATGAGAAGACAAGAAAAGTTATTTTAATTTAGGAGCATAAACATAATGCTTTCCTCCCCTCCCCTTATTCTCTTGCAGTAGCTCTTAACACTGCAGAAGGACAGAACTTTCTTTTATAAAGTGACAAATACTGCATAACATTAGCTAATAATCTGTTAGTGACCCAGATGACCCCTCTAAATGTACACAAAAAAAAAAAAAAATCAGATCCTTAAAGGTGCACTGAAAATGGAGATCTGTATGAATTTTGTATTTTTTCATAACTCAGACTGTTAAGAATGTTGTCCTGTCCTCATCATCTCATCCACAGACTTAAGCCACAACAGTCTCAATATTTCACAGACTAAGTGGCAGAAAAACAAGGCATACTTCTCTCTCTTCTGTATTCCTCTCACCTATGTTACTGTTTTTTTTTTTTTAAATCATGTTGGTCCTGCGCATTTCCTACTGTTTCTTTCTAAATCAATCACTGCAGTGATTACAGATAGATAATACCTTTTATAAAATAAACATCTGCCATTAACTAAAGTGTGTTACAGAATCCCAAATAGAGGACCTTACTAAACTGCATTCAGATAGGTGATTGACAGTGTATTAAACATAAGTTAATACAACTGTGAAAAACAAAAATATGTTCAGCAGCCTTAAGTACGAATTTTGTTGCAGTGAGCTGTCTTGGATTTCCTTTAGGGTGTATCCATTTTTATGTGAACTTCTTACTTACCTGTTGGTAATTTGTGATGTGTCATAAAACAAATCTTCTTTCTTCCCAGTATCTGATGCAGTATGTAAGGAACCTGAAGAGACATCTGAGAAAGTTAAGAAAATCAATAGCTCAAGCAAGGTCAGTTATGACACCATGACTCCTGCAGCTTAAGAGTTTCAGGAAATCATTCATTAGGCTCTTTTTTAGTGAAATAGTAACAATTCGATTGAGTATGACTTAGTGATAGTAGTGCTTTTCTGCTAAGACCCAAATATAGAACCACACACTGCCATTGGACACAGATTTTGGAGTCTCCAGTGAAAAGGTAAAGCACAGCATTTCAGGCATGATAGAGGCTCTCAATTCAATCATAATTTTTTATTTTTTTTTTACCTTTTCGCTTGGCAGTTAGCCTCTGCTAATTGCTTCTTCTCCTGCATCACAAGTGTTGTAGAACATAGGTGCTCTCTGGGCTTTGGATTGGCGCTGCAAAACTTTCCTTGGAGAGTAGCTTGGGAAGCATGTATTGGCTGACGCAGAACATGCTGTACTAAAGCTGTAGCTAGTCTGTATTGCCATTATCAAACCTCATCCTTCTCTATAAGATGTGGAAACAGATGAGTCTAAGAGATTATTGTCTTTTGTAACCAAATTATTACTGAATTTGAGTGAATGTACCAGATAATGTTCCTTCTGTGCATAAGATTTGTATTAAAATGTAAAGTATGTGAGCCTTGCACATTTTGGGCTGCAGGCAATTGTTGCCTTCCTGGAGCCGGGAAGGAACTTCTTTGACAGCGTGCTCTTAGCCTAGTGATTACTGTGAGGCGCTTCCCTTTAGAGTGCGTCCCACCCTTCTGCTGACTGCCATCAAAGATGATTACTGTATTTGGTGGGCCGTGAGTTCTGACCATTCTGACACTTTCTTTGTGGTGGCCATCTAATTTTATCCCTGCACCACTTCCTTAAAGAAACTCAGCTCCCTGCAGCCTGCGTGTCCTGGCAAAGGACCCAAGGATTGGGTCGGCACGGCCTTTAGAATTGTCCTTCGTTGCTGGCCTATAAAGCGTGTTGATAAAGAAAGCAAGAGTAAATACATACTGTTAAAGCCGAAGTTATACCATTTCTATGAATATGGGAGAACAAGGCAGCTTCTCATGCAGAGACAGTCAAGTCAGCACCTCTCATCACCAGAGTACACTCTAACAGCGAGCATTCTCCAAATGCCAGATGGCTTAGCTGTATTCTCTCTCCCATCACAAATCACTTTTTCCACATGCTGTCTCTGCCTTTGGGCTCAGATCTTGCATGGAAAATATCAACCAAAAGTCAGCTTTTTTTTTTTTCTCTTTTAATATTTGAGGAATAACTTTCAATCATGTAAAACTGGAAAAACAATTTTGAAGTGACTGTTTACAAGCCATATTTAAAAACTGTTCAACTCTGAAGTCTAATGTTTTGGAAAACATTAGTCTTCTGAAAGAACTGGTTTAGAGGTTAATTTGGGGAAGGAAAGTTTTTGAGGGAATGAAAAATTGCTTCAACTGCATAACTTAAGGCTGTGTCACGATACTACAGAGTAATGCAAGTCAGTGCTGAGTAACTATGCTACATTTTGAGCTCTTAAGTCTTGCACTCTACAGTTGTATGAAATTTTTTTGATAGCTACCTGCAGTTGCTGAAAACAAAAGTTGTTGAGAAAACGATGCTGATGTGGCAAAACTTTAAAATCTAGGGTCGAAAAGACACTGCTGTGTCAACATTTGAGTTGCAAGTGACCTGTTTTGGTTCGCTTTAAACATTTCAGTGATGCCAGTGAGCCCTGAAGAAACTGGGTTTTCTTTTCTTTTGAAAAACTTAAGTTATCCTTCTATAACAGCTAAACTTTTATATACTCCAGTTTGAAAGTCACCTTAAACCCAAAGTTTTCAATGGGATTGCGCATTGAAATCAGTAAAGCACTTCTTGCAAATCCTACTCTAAAGCTTTTCCCTGCATAAAGAAATTCTGTGTCAAAAGACACTACCAAACATTAGGATGACAAGATTAAACTGTCAGAAGTGGACAGTTGGCAGTGGTTCTGTTTTGAGGGGGAGATTGGACTGGATGACCTCCAGAGGTCCCATCTAACCAGAACTTCTATTATTCTGTGACTCTACTGGGAATAAACTGAATCTATTTGAGGGTTTGATGTTTCTTCTTTCCTCTGTATTATTGTTTTCATCCCTGACTCTTGTAGAAATAACCCTCACCTTTCAGTATTTGTCTCTGAATTAATGAGAGATCTAGTGGCTGTGACACATTGCTGGAGGGGTGTAGCACTTTAAAAATCTTTTCTCCTTTTGCAGGTCCAACAACCTTTTTTTTCCTCACAGTACCCAGATGATGACCCAGACTACTGCATATGGATTCCTCCTGCAGGTATCAACCACTTCCTTTACCATTTTTAGTCCTATAACTCAAGAATCTACCTAATAAGTAGTCAGGGTGTCCTTGTAACTTCTTGAGAAAAAAGTAATTCAGGAATACTTTACCCAGAACCTGATGTTTTCTGGCATGTTATGCCCCATATTTGTTGTATGGCCACACAAGTCTTGCCGTGAAATACAGACCACGTTGGCAGTAGCTTCATCTCAATGGACAGATACACCTGAAGTTTGATTTTCAGTTTTGTAACACCTGAGAGAGCTAACTCCGTTCACACATAGTGACATGATGATCTAGTTGAAAGACAAGCTCAAACCTTCACTACGGATAAATGTTCCAGCAATCTTGATATTCTCAGTTTTCGTAGAAGTCTGTGAAATCTGAAAATCTTCTTTACAGATTTTTGCAAAAATCACTGGAATACAAACTTCGGGTCATGTGTTTTGTAGAGAAGTCTTGGTAACGCTTTGGTGAAGGCACTGAATAATTGATGCACGCATCCAATATATGTTGAAGTTGAAGAAATTTTTTACTTTAGTTCCAGAGTGTTTTTAGCTAAGTGAGGTTATTCTTAAACAGTGTAATGAATTTTCAGTTTCTCTAAAATGGAAGATTCATTTTCATGCATTAAGGTTCTCATACTAAGTTCAAAGCTTAGCTTTTATTTGGTAGATTCATTACTATATTTTTATAAGGCTGTTGCAGACTTGTAATATAGATAGGCTCCAAAGGGAATAAGAAAAATGAGAATAAATTTCACTGAAGAAAACTATAATCTGGTGAATCGTCCTTCAATGAAAAGACTGCACTTCTCTGACATATGAATCCACTGGAACAAAATACCCAATTCAGTAACTCAGAGGTCTGATCTCGGATAGCCAAGTGAGCTGTGTCCATAAGAGGGAGCTCCTTCTTCTGTCTTTGCCTGCTAATAATCAGACTTACCTTGTATGCTGGCCTAATGAGGACACCAAGGGTGGGGGAGGAGGAGAAAACAAAAAAAAAAACAACAAAAAACCACCAAATCAAAAAAGAGGAATATATGATGTAATCTTGACACTATTAGTAAGGTCAAGAGGAATTTTAAGTATCAATCAAATGACGATTTGAATTGTAATATCCAGTCTGACTTTTTATCCTCTTTGTGCTTGCCTGACTAGTGCTGCCTAGAGACTATTTCATACTTGGATACACATTGATCTTGGATGAGGGGGGAAAAATAATGCAACTCTCCTCTTCGTCCATTAGGTCAAAGCGGTGATGGCAAGACTCATCTCAATGAAAAATATGGCTACTAAGCTTCAAGTGCCCCAGAGTACATCTGAGATTTGAAGGACTGCTCTACTTTGGACTCTTTCACCACGCGTTAAGTGAGGGATAAAAGAGTTGTTTTTTCAGATACTGTTCCAAATTCAAGGGCATCAGCAGCCACTCTGGCTGTTAGCTCTCCCTGTGTGTCCTCTGTCTTCCAGATACTTTTTTAAAAGTAAAAGCCCAGACATTCTTCTGCCTCTTCTTCCAATTTTAGCCTTGTCCTTTTTATTTGGCTTGAAACTGTAGGCTCATTTTTTCTTTTGTAAATAAAAGTACACAAAAACTATTAAAAAAATACACATCTGTATAATTACAGGCTTGATAAAATTTATTCGTGTTGGTTTTATGCAATTAAAATGAGAAACACTACTGGTTTACTTCTGTGGCTGCTGTTTGAAAATACTGCCATGGGCAACACAACTTAGAACTTGAGGGTTGTTTCTTTTCAAAATAGAAGTGTTTTCCATAGGAAAGAAAAAAAGAAAACTGTTTTCACTTCTCCCTCACGCAGTTTCTGGAATACTTGGCATGGAGTGGACTGGAAATGGGGAGCGTACGCTGTTATAAAAGTGTAGAAATGCCAAAGAACTGAAGAGGCTGGCACCGCTTATCTCGAATGAGAGGGTAACAGAAGAAATGATGGAAGGATATCCTGGAAAAGCTTATAATGAAGCCTGTTCTTCTCCTGTCACAACACAAGAGCAAAGCGCCATCTTAATGCAATTTAAGGCATGCCTGCTCTTAATTTATCACAAATACAGTTTTGAATGTCTATATAATTAGGCTATGAAATTCTTTGCCATCAAAGGTTATTAGAGCTACGAATACAGTAAGGTTCAAAGAGCGAGCAGGCGTCTTTATAAAGAGGTGACCGTTAGTGCTGCAAACATTTATTGGAAGGACCTAATCCTTTTCCCCGTACCCCACGGTGCATCAGTGCAAGAAGCCCCTTCCTGCTACAGCAGTGGCAGCCTCCTCATAGTGTGAGGCCAGGCCCCACCTCCTTTCATTCTGCTCTGTGATTGGCTGCTTGCCTTTTTATTTCTGAGACTGACCTATTCATGTGATCTCAGAACACCCTCTGATTGGCTGCCCATGTCCTTTGGGCCAGGCTCAAGTGTAACAATATAGGCTTTTGTCTCATATATGAATATATATATCTGAAGGAGGATACAAATATTTGTGTTATTTATTCGTGGATCCACTTCCTATATGTATTTATATATGTGCCTATTTAGTGTGTCTATGCTATATATATTAAAAATTTATAATTTAAATATACATCCGTAAAAGTGCAGGTATAAATTGGATAAACACTCTTTAATAAAAGGTAATGAAATGAATAATGGAAGTTTAAATGTGAATGGAAGTAATCAAACATGAGCAAAGGGCAGGTTCATGCCCCCTGCTTTCCAAGGCTGCAGATCAAGCCCCATTTGGGGTGTGGGGTGGGGGATAAAGAGGGCAGGGGGCTGTGAGCAAGCTGGAGACTGCCCCAGGGCTACGGACCCCTCCAAGGAGGCCACCAAGGGTCTGCCAGGGCCCTGGGGGCACTGCCAGGCCTGCCTGCCCTGCCCAGCCACCCGGGCTCTCAGAGAAAAACAGATCTTCCCTGTTCATTGCACTTTAACTTTTAAGCAGTGCTTTCCTCCAAACTGCAGGTAGTGGTAGGATTTGGGGCCTGAAGATCCCAACTCAGTAACAGGGTCATCACTTGTCAGCTCACCTAAATAGTCACTTGGGTGACTTAAAATTGTCCCAGAGCCTGCGTTGTGGTAAAGGCAAGGGTCACACAGGGCATCAAAGGGATTATAAAGCTCTACGCACAAGCATACAGTGGCGAGGAAAGCTGTAGAAATGCTAGTGTTGCACTCCAGGGTCACACATCTTTGGCGTGCTTCCACCGGACAGTGGCTGCATCCTCATGGATAAATCTCAGGAGGGCACGTCAGAAGCTGGGCAGAAGGGATAAAGGTACAACAACTCTGGTTCTTGCAATGGTAGTGTTGGAGCAATGGAGCTTACTGCAGTTTTACTCCACAGAGAATGTAAAACAGTTTGGCAGCTTGACATTTTGTAGGGTTTTAGCTCAAGCCGCATCTTCTTTCTGCCTCTAATCTTCCACATATTTAGCTTTTTTTTTTTGTCAGCATCTGCACCCCAGGCTGGGCAGCCTGAAGGTTCCTGCTTCTGGCAGAGGTGTATCTTTACGTACTCCAAGGAAAGGCTGTTGCCCCTCCATTCAAAACGCCAGACCTCATAGGTTTCAGACTCTAGCCCTTCTCCAGAGCCTTGTTCAGTTCCAGGGTGCAGCAGGCATCAGCAAGGGACTTCTGTTCATCGCTGTGGGTGCAGAGGGCCTGGCAGATTTCAAACAAAAAGTGCACCACGAGGGAAACAATAGTTTGCCATTTATGCTCATGAGAAGCATAGGGAAAAAAAAGCCCACAAGGTGGGTACGCCTTTACATTGACCATCCCAAAGTAGGTGGTCAGTGTGTCGAAACTCTGAAAAAAAAGGACTTCTGGGTTCCCAAGAGGGTATTTTTTTAGTTTTACTGATGAAAGGATAGAGGTTAGCAAAATCGTGGTGGTGTCTTTTCATCGGGGGCTGCTTTGTTGTACAGACAAATGGTATTTGTCCTGCTGCCAAAAGCACATCTCTGGGGATCAGGGACTGGGCAGTTTGGTCCTGGCTGAGACCACGAGCTCCCCATCTGTTTCTTTTCATAGCAGCTCACTTGTGCTCCCATACAGATCTGATGATAAACCTGCTCTCTTTAGGCGGTCCATCTTTTGTTGCGTTGCGTAATATGAATACCCAAAGGTGGTCCCCACCGGATGGTTCCAGTTGTTTTCATGGTAGCCTTCAATACAATCATGGAAAAAGCACCCCTTATATTTGAAAGTTGTTGTCATACCATCAATGATCCCTTAGTCATCCCAGAAGGCGGTTCCCACTTGATACTTATGGCCATGTAACACATGACAGGTTTGAATATTTCCCTTTTTGGCTAGGTATATATGTTGTTGGTCAAATATCTCTTTTTCCTCCAATGACAGCCATAAACCAGTATGTGGACATGCAAGTAGAGGCCACCATATTATACAGAAAGGGAACTACACAGCGATAAGCCTTCTCTTTTTCATCACTCTCTTTCTCATCCACTGTTGACGGGCCGTCACCATAATCTTATTTCTGTATGATCTGCAGGCCTCCCTCAAAATTTTTACATCTTGCTGGCAATAGTAACTCATTTCTTATTGCAAGTCAAAGGTCTCCTGATGGTCTGTGCACATGTCAAGAACTGCTTTTTTTTCCCTTAAGCGCCATGCCGTGCACTCTGTCATAATCCCAGGAAGAGGGCCTGCATGACTTCAATTTTCAGCAGTGTTGAAAAAATGGAGGAAATAACTTCTGTTGCCCTTGATACCCAGCTCAGGGAAGACTGCCTAGTTTCATGGGTAAAAAATTTAGAGAGACTTGGAAAACAAAAACTCTAGTTGCACATCATTTTAGCACCCTGGGTGATTAATTACACACCCATGTTTTTCTTTCAGAAGCTGGCTGACAACTGAGCAGCCATCATAGCCTTTGGTGTTAGAGAAGCATAGCCCTGAAACTCTGCCATTAAGCAGCTGACTAAAGTCCACATGTCCCCTTAAGCTCCCATTCTCCTTCAGTTTTCCTTTCCACTCCTCCTTCATCCCACAGGGCATCTGGCACTAACTCCATGACAAAAATATAATTCAGGCCGTGCGCCCAGTTTCCTGCATGCATCCCATCTCGTAGAGAAGAGAGCCCTGCCCCACATCTGGGGTTTTGATCACGGGCATGGAGCACTGCTGCTGGCTTACATTACAGGTCTGTTCATGGCACAGGCTGCGCTTCCAGCCTCTACGTTTGAGATGCTTTTCCACATAGATCTCGCGCTTTTTCACGTAAAATCAGAGCCAAACAAACAACCTGGGTTCCCCAGACCCGCGCAGCAGTCTGCGGCTGGGGCACCTTCTTCCCGTGGCAGTGTTAAGTGCACATGCAGCAAGCAGAGCCAGCAATAGCATTTACAGCTGTGGGTGTGATAATAGTGTGTATGACAGGGCTCACAAAGGTTTCTTGCCCCAAATACCTTTCCTGACCTCCCTAGCACCATAATGATGTTCGTTGTGTAAGAGGAGGAAAGGGGTCCTGAGATATCTAGGACTACTGCTTGGCTTAAGAATCCCCCAGCATTTTTTTCCGCTCAGATAGGAGGAGGATGAGTGTATTAACACACAGCAGGTCCTTGAACAAGGGGATCCCGCTCAGCATGACCTTCCTGTGCACAGACCACTCTGGTTTTTCACGGAGCTCGGCTCCTCTGCTCAACAGCTCTGCATCAGTCAGACGCCTCATTGCTGTAAGTGCTGTAAGACCTCCAGCAAAACAGAGAAAACCATCACTGGTAGGTTTTGGCTCAATCATACAGCACCACTTTTTGTCTGTAATGTTAGAATGGAGATAGGCTGCAGGGTCCTGCCTACCCCACTCCCAGCAGCTTTTACTGTGAGAGTAGCTGGGCAGAAAGTCTGATCGCATCTCAGCTCTCTCTGACTTCATACGAGTGTACTGACCCAGTCTGAAACTTTCTTCTGAATTTGTAGTGCTTAAATTAACAGTGGAAGACTTTAGTTGAAGCTGTGCATGCAGATAGCTTCGAGATAGAGCTGAGCAAAATCACCAGGATTGAACATCTGGCATAAGTCACCAGAAACTTGCTCTACACCCCAAACAAGCGCTTTGTGAGCTTCATGCAGCAATACCTCATCCAAATTAACAAACCTGTACTTTTCCATGTAGTGCCTAGCCATGGACCTCTGGAATGGCCTTTCCCACTGCTGCGTGTGCTCTGTGGAAGCCACGGGCTGATGGTCCCTCCACCGCCCCTCTTACATTGGAGGGCGGGGGTAAAGACAGACTTTCAAATACACGCCCTGGGGACTTGGGAGGGCAGCTGCTTCTGCCATAAGTGGTCTAACAGGACAATCTTGACTGCGTGCTGGGTTTTCTGCCTCTTCTTTGCTGCACTGACCAATAGATAAGAAAACATACAGCAAAGGCTGCATCTCAGGTGTAGCTGTAAGGTCCCCCACCACCATGGGCAAATGGAGCTCATCCTGCCACCTGCCATTCTCTGCGTGACACCTCCACATCAGCCAGCTCTTCTGGTTTGCCAGGTCATTTTTCTTCCAGATGCCCCTGGATCTTGGTGATTTTGGCCCAGCACTGTTGCATTTTCTCTTCAATTCTTTCAAAACCACAGATTAGAGCAAACAACCTCCAGATGGAGCTCATGATGCACAGACCTCACCGTACCTTAGGTCTCCTCT